AATGTCATCATTGAGAATTCCAGCTCTATTCCATCACTCAATACCAAATATAGTACTACATTGTATTTAATATAGTACTATTTAGTACTTTTCGTACACTTATAGGACACGTTTCCAAAACCACCTCTTTATCACAAACCAACCACCAACAGGCACCCAAATACAAATTTAAAAAAAATCCAGCTTAATATGTTCACCCTTGAGCAAACTGTTCCACATTAGTACCATTCAGCACATTTCGCACACTTGTGCCAATTTTCCAAAACCAGCTTTTTATGTGGTTTTCATATCAAATTGAAAGTTTTTAAAGTCGGTTCACATAGAACCCACCAATTTAGAAGTTTAGTACCATTTTAGAACTTTTTGTAAGTTTAATGGTCGAATTTCCAAAACCCCTTTGGTACATCTAATCTGCACTCCATCAGTGACTCTCATTCCAAATTTCAGAATGTTGCTTCATTCCATTTGTGTCATACAAAGAATTCAATTGTTAGTACATTTTAGTACTTTTCGTACGCTTGCTAAAGAGGTCTCGAAAGGAACATTTTCTAGCCACAATGCTGATATGGTCAAGTTATTTTAATAAATCTCAAATATACAATACAACACTGATTCGATACTGTAACAAAAAGAAAAAAAAAAACAATTACCTTAAACTGACACTTTATTTTATTTCAGCTATTAAGTCGAGAATTCCGCAATTTGCGGAAAAAATGTCCGTCATCCAATACACAGAACATATGCACATAAATGTCATATCCATTATATCGAATGAATACAGTATTTTAAGAACACAAAGATTGAAATGAAATTTCTCAAATGATAGATGGGAGCATGTGTCGTCTTGTGTGTGTGTGTGTCGGTGGTGTGCATGTGCGTGTGTCCTTGTTGAGATTCATCTCACTTGGCAAATCATTGAGTTTTATTAGATTTGTAGCCCCCTGAGTCGTAAACTCTGGCCACTTTTTATTTGTTTACTGTTTGTATAACCGTTCCTCCTTGGTCAAGAGGGGTTTCCAGTAATTCCTTTTTCACTAGAACACAATATAAACAAAAACATGCTCACACACACACACGCACTCACCTACACATACGTAAGAAGGCCTAATGTGTGCACACACGAACACAAATTCCAGACAAGTGTATCGGCTCAAAGGACTAAAGCATTTTGTTGGAAATGCACTCATTGAAGGACTGTTTACCCTGCCGATGTCCGTTTAGTTGAGACTTTTTTGTTTCTGGCCAACCAACCAACAAACAAACCAACCAGCCAGCCAACCAACAGACATTCAGACTGTGCTGACGAAGAATAGACTTGGCTACCGGATGCCCAAATTCTGGTTGAATTGAATTTCGTTTGGTCGAGTATTTTGGGGAGTGTTCATTTAATTTAATGTGTCAATAATGAAAATGTTTCGTACTTTCTTTCCAATCTTCTCATCATGGAAGAGGCCAACTCTGGGACTTGGGAGACGCACTGATGTAGGCGATAAAGGTTCTCTAATGCCATTACAGATGCAGATGTTAATAACGATGACGATGTCGATGCTGGTGCTTTGCTGAATTGGCCACAAAGGTTAATTACCTCTTGCTATGCACAGCTAAGAACCGACAAGCTTTTCATTCAATTCTATTTTCGTACATATCTTTGTATTCAATCTATCCGACTGTCCGTCCGTCCGCCCGTCTGTCTTTCTGTGCGTTGAGACTTTGTTTTTGTTTTTTGCCCCCAGATCTTACAGCTTGTTTTTCATTTTTGCTTGTCTCACTTTTCGATTGTAGTGACTAGAAAGCCATTTGAAAAGAAAATTGCTAAATTAACAAACCTGTGAATACTACCCTCCTCCTCTACCACATTTCAAGGACTACTCTCATGTTTGTGGCTCCCACTCACACTTCTTCCACATGGAGTGCCAAAGTATTTTATTCAAATGCCAGATTGTTATGGTCTCCTCTCCTACATCTTGCAAATGAAAAATATTTGCATTCAACTGCAAACATTTGTCGAGAGAAAGAAGAGGAAGAAGAAGATAAAACCCTTACCAAAAATAGCAAAATGGGTGCACCTATCCCCTCATCCCTCTTCTTCGAAACACAAAAGTAGAACCAGCTAGCCAGCCAGCTAGTCATTCATTTACCGATGATATTCGGATGATGCCTCTGGCATCTGGGCATAACCAGATTCTCGATGCAAAGGCGAAGGAAAAGAAGATGGATGAACGGATAAAACAGAAGGTTGTCGGAACAGAATCATGGTTAAATATGTTTGCCAAATGAAACCTCAGGTAAATTACATCAAAATTAAATAAAGTTTTCTTTTCGGTTGAGATTTTTAAATGTTGATTATGGTCGTTTTACTAATGATTCTGATTCTTAATGTCCTGTCAAGAGTGTGCGATGCATGTGGGTGTGTGTGTGTGTACACGAGTGCGTATGTCAAATCCTAAATATGCATGTTCGGTATGTAATTGGATGCAAACCTTCATTTCAATTTCAGTCCCCTTAGGTTAGGTTCAAGGATTTCCTGTTACAGAATACCAAAAATGACAAACATAAACAGGGTTCACATCTAGGAAAGAGAAGCCAGTGGATAGCTTTTTTACACTTCCCACTGCGCCGAAGCAACCGGGTTATCGAAAAGAGGAAAATATTATTAACCAATTTGGATTTTGAGCAAAACACTCCACAACATATGCCATGGATGGTTTCAATCCCGCAATGGGGACAATAGCTGTTGGTTTGGACTTTACCAAAGCCGGTATGCATGGCATTTTTTGTAATCGTTTGGTTCGACGGACAAACATGTATCATGGTGGCAAGATTTCTCACGAAGCGAGTCTTTGGTGTCAGAATTGATGACAAACTGTCCCCCGTTTGAGAACAGAGATCACTTGTAGGACACATTAGAAATACGGCTGTGCGTGTACATGACTACAATTCACAGCTACTTCTACAACGTTGGGGTTTACGTTTAAAACTGCGTATATGTCGTTTTCAAAGGCAAATCGCAGTAAAGAGTAAAGCGTTTCCGTAGATTCATCCATACCACCAAGTTTCGTGATGAATTTGTTACAATTTTCGATAGGATGAAGTACTTGAAAATCATCCTGCAATACTGATTCGACTTCTGACGTCATTTAAACTATGGCTTTTCCAGATCTCCGGACGTAAAATTGCTTACATACAAGAATCCGGAATCACTCGGGCCGCTATAGTATCAGCCTAATTTGAAAGAATAAGGATATCGGAAAAGAAGGTCTTGGCATTATATTTCAATATAAGGTAAACAATCGACGATAACACTGTGCAACACAAAAAAAAATTACAGGGAAAATTCATTAGATCATAAATGTAGACCTAAACAAGTAAAAAAGCATAATTTCGGTCAGTCCGAACATATCCTTTACCAATTGAAAGGATCTATATAAAAACCATATATGGGGTATACGAAGACAAGGACCTGCACAAGTAATTTTTTGTGGCAAAGAGGGACTAGCTTTTTTTCGAGTACTTGATTTGTGTAGTTCAGGACAGTATTTATCTCAACGATATTTTGTTATTTCGATATGAAGTAGCATCCAATGTTGCTTACCATTTTACAATTCTGGTTCTGCTATATATTAGCTTGTGGGATATTTCCTCTTAATAATTCTGTTATAGGTTGTAGTGCCGATTCCGAACTTCAAATACGAAATTTGATGCAATTCCGTTAAATAATGTTGCGAGAATCCTGGAAATACCGAATATCTCGGGGTAGCGTTATATGGTTGCTATGCTAAAACGTAGACCTATATAAACAATTCTGTTCCAGGGGGTAAAGTACTCAGAGAGAACTCCTTGTGTGGATTTTCAGACTATTCCATTGAAAAATGTGGCTAAAATCATCAAAATATCGAATATCGGGGGGTACCATTGCATGAGGGCTATACGATATCGTGAACCTATATAGAAAATTCTCTTTCAGTTGGTAAAGTATTCAGAGAGAACTCCTTGTGTAGAATTTCCGACAATGCCATTGAAAAATGTGACTATAATCATCAAAATAACGAATATCGGGAGGTACAGTTATATGGGGGATATACGAGATCATAGACCTATAAAGACTATTCTTTTTCAGGGGTTAAAGTAGTTATTAAGAACAATTCCATTGAAAAAGGTGATATCGATATCGTGGTGATATCTGATCTGTGCACAATTTTAGCTTTCTATCTTAATTCGTTTTGATTCTAGCGTGATTTCAACGGATTGACAGACGGACGGGCAGACGGACGGACGGATAGGGCTAAATCGTTTCAGAAGTTCATACTGATTATGAATATATTTACATTGTTGGGTCTACAATTATTATTTCGATGAGTTACAAATGGAATGACGAACATAACATACCTTCCATACTATGTATGGTGAAGGGTATAAAAACAGCACAAACTGATTTACTATATTTCTATATTTTTATTTAGGTTATTTTTATAAGTGTTTCATTATTTGTACAAGTTCCGACATATGCGTATGGACTTGTAGGGGTTCTAAATCTACAGATCTAGCTGCATATATACCAAATTTTCTAGCTTTTAATACTTTTTGTACTTCAAGTATTAATTTCCAAAATATTTTTTTAAGTACGCCATTTCTTTATCATAGACAAACTGACGTACAAAAATTCAGAGCTCTAGTATCTCCCAATCACTCAATATGGTACTATAGTTAGAACATTTTTGTACTTTTCGTACCCTTGTAGGACGAATTTCGAAAAACGCATAATTGAACAAAGTCGCTGTCATAATTTAACTTTACTCACTAAAAGTGGTTATCATACCAATTTTGGTAATTCGTTTTATTAATATGGATATTTTATTCATTTTTGTACTGTTTTGTACCCATTTAGTACGATTTCCCACTTTTTCCTGCTTCATTACACATTTTGCTCTCTTTATGAAATGAAGCTCATAAAATTATTCTGCGAAAAATGTAATAATTATTATTCTATTTTCTGTACTCACCTGTTGTTGACTGCATGCCATGACTGTCGAGCGACGGAGCGGCACTTGCCACCAAACGTGACGACAAACTTGGCAATTCAATCTTCTTTGCTTTGGCAATGTTGAAGAGTTCATTGGTGGCGGTTGTTGTTGGCGTTGTTGCAGCAATGAAATAATTTCCATTATCAGGCAGCGGCGAACCAGGAGTGCCAGCACTATTGGTATTTACGCCCGTCCCAACACCGGCAGCATTGGTGACACCTCCAGCACCAGCTGAATTGCCACTCAATACCTGCGCCAGCTTCTTGCCCAAGTGCATGGCCATTTGTTCATCGGTACTCTCCGGACTGGATTCTGTGGGCAATTCGGTTGGCACAATTTCCAAATAGCTTGTTTTGGCCACTGACAGCAGCGATAACTTGTCCGCTTGGTGGCGCTTACGTAATTCGTATATGGCCCGAGCCGTTGTTGGCGAGAGAATTCCCGAGGTATCGCCGGAAGCGATGCTTATTTCACTGAGGGGTCGTTGTTTTTTCGCTTGGATTGCATTCGCATTGGCTGCTGCTGCTGCCGCCAATAGATGCTGTTCCAGGTTGGTTGGCAACTGGACTGCCGTGTAGGATAGTGATTTATTGTGCGTTAGATTTTTATTTGTCTTTTTGGTAGTCGTTGATGTTGCTGTTGCCGAACTATCTACATCATCGTCATCGTCCTCGCCGTCCAGGAATTCATCGTCATTATCTGTTGCAGTGGAATTGGGGCATAGATCGCCGGGGGAATCTGCAAGAGGTGCCGTTACAACACTGGTACTGTTCGGCGATAGTGGCGGGTCTGTAAAGAGTGAATCAGAGCTGGATGACACATCTCTAAGCAAAACATTGTCACAGTTATCATCATTAAACGTATAGAGGCTATGCCGTCGTCGAACATTATCATTGACCCCCAGGAAATTAGCTGTCCCGCGAATACTAACATTACCAGCCCCGATGCGACCAGCCGGAGATGTGGCGGTGGTCTTGTTCATCCTCATTCTCAGTGGGGTGGCCATACGTTTGTAAAATACGTCATCAAAGTCGTCGTGGTCACAAAAGGATTCTTTGAAAATGCTCTCTGTTCGTGAGCAGGGGGTGGGTGAACGCGATTTGTATTTATGTGGGTGGTGGGTGTAGGTGTTTGGGTGGTTTATCCATTTAGAAGAAAAGGGAAACATTAACATTGCAACAAAATGTGTGCAATCGAAATTCGGAAAGGCAGCAAGAGCGAGGAAGGTGAAGGAAGAAAAGAATAGAAATAGTCGAAAGAGAATCAACTCATTAGTATTTTCATTATTTGTATTATTATTAATTGTGACAACGGATATTACACAGAAGCAGCGAACAGAAGCGGTCTTTTGTTAAAAAAGAAACAAAAAACAAAATTACAGTTGCCAATGGTTTCCACAATAATTTTAATAATCTTGAGCATCAACTTAAGTTTTAGCAGAACAGAGGCTTTTGCCAATTGTTTCTTTTGCAAATAATTAAAAGGTATTGATGGGAATTTTACAATAGTCCGATACTAATTAAGGAAACGAAACAGAAAAGTAGACCGGATTTCAAGGAAAAGGAAATCAAACAAATTACATATTTAATAGCCACGTTGATGAATCGAAAAGCAGTCATAATTAAATGTTAAATAATGTCTATTCTGCTTTTCTTTTTGCGAGATGTTGACAAATAGGTTAAGGTTTGCAGAGTTATAATTAAAGATTTCAGGGAAATATGGAACGTCATAGGGTTCCCATGGAGGGCTGCTAAATCAAAGCAAATGTTAAGGATACTGTTCAGGTGATTAAGGAAAGGCGATTCCCAAAACATGTGTGAATGTTTGAATTTAAATGTATTGCACAAAGAAGCATTCACTGGGATAGTGATTTGCGTGAAATTTCTATGCAATATCTTTGGACCATAATCAAAACCGGTGTGCAATATCTTTAGCTACATATCAGAAGATTGCGAGTTCAACTCCAGCAGCTGATCATATGAACCAGTAAGGAAATGACAATAGTTTGGCCGGGCCCGATATATTTAGCAGTTTTACTTGTAGAAAATATACGTTTATATTATGAATGCATATGAGAATATTTTAATACAGACATACAGGGTGAGATAAAAAAAACTGCAACAAAGGCAAACGCCACAATTTTTACATTTTTTTTTTTTAATTTGTATTAAATGAAAGCAAAAAATGTCGGAAATAGCATCAAATTTTAGAATAAGTTTAGATTTGTTCGAATTGGTCACTTTTGGCACGAACTATGGCCTTTAAACGGCCAATTAAACCGTCACTCGCTGCCCGAATGTTGCTCTGCGGTATTTTGGCCCATTCCCGGCGAAGCGCTTGCTTGAGGTGATCGACACTTTGGTATTTTTTAGTGCAAACCTTGCTTTCCAAAATACTCCAGACACAATAGTCCAACGGATTGGTATCGGGAGATTTTGGTGGCCTTTGTACGCTGGAAATTAAGCGAGGAACCTAATTTTGTAACCATGGGTGGCGCATGCTGAATGTCCAAGGTCTGCGTCCAAAATGTTTGCGTGCCCAAGGCTTTAATACACTCTCCAGAATATTTTCGCGATAATATTCGGCATTTATTCTGATGTCACGTCTATTAATACCAACGGATAGCGACCATCGGCTGTTATGGCGGTCCACACCATCACCTCTTTGGCAACTAAACACGATAATTTTGTTTGTTTACAAACTGCTGGACAATGAATGTTTTCTCATCGGAAAAAAACCAAATTCGCCAGTTCATCACTTTCGGCCAAGTGAAGCTCTTTTGAATCTATTTTATTTCTGTTGCGGTGTAAGTTCTTACACTTTTTGGAATTTCAATGGCTTTACCCCGAGCTCATTTTTCAATATTTGCCGAATGGAATATTGCGATATGTTCAGCTCATGAGCCATTTTCTGCCACTGCGACGTGGGTTTCGATCAAGTCGCTTCTTTACTTTTCCGACCATTTCATCCTAGAAACCAGTACTTCTAATGTGGTGAAAATGGGATCAGATATACCTAAAGCTCCCATATATATGTTTTATCCGATTTGGGGTTTGAAGTCCTTCACACGCGTAATATGTATTCCACAACAATGATCTTTGATACCAGACATCAGATACAGCTCTGAAATAAGTGTATCAAATTTTGTCAAGATCGGTTCAGATTAGCTCCCATATATATCTTCAACCGATTTCGGATTAATTGTGCTCCTAATGGCCAATATCAGTCCAAATGACCTGAATTTTGGCACATTCGACCAAATTCAGTCTAGAAGTAAGTACATCAAATTTGCTGAAAATCGGTTGAGATATAGCTATATCTCTCATATATATGTTTCATCGCCTTTTGTGTTTAAGACCCTCAAACTATAAATGCTATAAAGCCAAATTTTGGAAGGTGGTATGATCTACTTCAAATAAATTATTTTGTTATGGGTGCTCTACTAAATATGCAGAGTGGTGTAGGGTATCATATAGTCGGCCCATCTCGACTTTTGAGTTTTCCTTGCTGTGTTTTTATTTATTTATTATTTTTTTATTTTTTTTAAGTCGAGTGCACCTTTGGATATTTGGTACGTAGCGCCGTCCTGTTGAATCCAGGACAAAACATTAAATTGCTGACCGTATATTTTCCATCTATCTGAGTTTTGTACATATTTACAACTTTCATTAATTACAATTCCAAGCGAGATGGTACGAAATCGTCGTCTTATATATAGATTTAACGTTTTACAATTCCTCTCGCAATATGGTACTTCATATTTTGTTAATTAGAAAAATGTATATAATTGAAATTTTTCATCCCCAAGAATACCCAGCTAACCAGTTTTTGATTATGGTTACACTTATGTCGCACCAAATATGGAATGCATAACTAAATGTCCATCTATTTTCGTTTATGATCTCATATCGCTGCATATGCCATTGTATTTGTTTCTTTTTTATTGGAACAAACAAAATATCGAAAAAAGAAGCAACAACTCAAGTATCGATTCCAACACAAATTAAAATGTTAACTTGGGGGACCTCCCAAAAGGATAGCCAATACAAGCAATTAAAAATTAATATCATAACCCGAATGCCAAACAAATGAATTGATCTCCTCTGCCAGTTAGTTTATGTCCGATGGTTTTCTTCTTCTACTTTGGTCATGCATTCCATTGATAAGCGTGCAAACCAAACCAGACCTGACCAGACCGGAGCAGCAACCAGAAGTTGTCGTAAAAAAAAACCGAGAGGAATCACAAAAAATGACATAAAATATAACATTATGGTCCCATGTGATCTGAATAAATAATAATGCGATATTAAATGAATGAATGGATGCATCGATGGATGGACGGGCTGGACAAATGGATAAACAAGAATGGATGGATGAATCAATAACTTCGTGGTTGGCTTAATAAATAAATAAATAATTGAAAAAGAACAAAACTTATCCAACGCTAACACTCTTTTAATTATGGCAATGACAATTATTGATGGCAAACATATAAGGGATGTGTAATTTATGAAATTTAAATGAAATACAAATTGATAGATCTGTGCGGCAAAGAATGGCTGTTTTCTTCTCTTGTTGTTGTAGTGTTGGAAAAGTGTTAATAAGTTAAGGTTGTTTATTGACTTATGTCTAAATTCAAGTAAAATAATTTTGTAAATGTTGTGTATTTCTCAAATAATCTACAATAACGGAGAGGAGACTAAATTCAACAAAGAGAGATCAAAAAGGGAGTCTTTGGTATATATAAGTAAATCCAAACGAACTATCAACTAAGACGGAGGGGCAGAAGGGAAATATATATGAAAGAGCGAAGATGTTATACTTTATTAACCAATTCTAAATGTTTTTCCCAAAGTTGAGAGGGGGTGGGAGTTTTTCATTCTGTTTGTAACACCTCGAAATATAAGTTTTAGTCCCCATAAAGTGTATATACTCTGTCTGTGTGTCCGTTTGTGGAAATCACTCTAGCTTTCGAACTAAACGATATGAAGCAGGTTGATAAAATTTTACTTTTTCTTGACTTTTGGAATTGGACCGCGGTACCTCCCTATATTTGGTATTTTGATGATTTTAGCGACATTACCCATCGGAATTTTTTGTTTTGTAAGTTCATAATGGGTACTTCAGCCTGTGGCCGAAAATTGCCTATGCATGTACACGTCTTCGTATAGCCCCTATATAAGGGTAACTCCCTATATTCACTATTTTGCTGATATAAGCGACACTATTATTTCAAGTTTCGTATTTGAATATCGTAATGTATATGACAAAAATTACATAAACAGGTCCACGTCTTCGTTCTGGTCCCATACAACGGTAACTCCCTATATTCGATGTTTTTATGATTTTTGCAGTATTTTTCATCGGATTTTTATACCTTCCACCATTCTATGAAAGGTATATTAGCTTTGTCATTTCATTTGTAATTCCTCGAAATATTCATGATAGACACTACAAAGTATATATTCTGGATCAGCGTAAAATTCCAAGACGATTTACCTATGTCCATCTGTCTGTGGGTCTTTCTTTCGAACGAATTGAGATAGAAGGCTAAAATTTTGCATACATGTGTATTTTGCCAGTAGGCAGGTTAAGTTCGTAAATGGGCCATGTCGGTCCACGTTTTCGTATAGACCCCATATAACGGTAGCTCCCGATATTCGGTATTTTGATGATTTTAGCAAAATTATTTTATTTATTTATTATTATGGGTACTACAGTCTATGCCTGGAAATTTCGTAAGCAGGTCCATGCATTCGTATATCCTCGATATTTTGATGATTTTAGTG